CCCCCCCCCCCCCCCCCCCCCGCTAAAAACAAAAAACAAAACAACAACAAAAACACTGTGTTAATTTAGGCAAGAAAAAAATGTCAGGCAGAAGAATTTTTGTGAATACCACTAATATCAATTTAGAGTTAGTTAGGAGATGTGAATTCTGTCCTCTTGGAGCTTCCAGTTAGTAGAGATAAACAATGATGATCAGTGTCACACAAAGAAATTATAAAACAGCATGTGAAATTATACCTGTGATAAATGCAATGAAGAAAATGTCTATGATGCCATAAGAAATTTCCATGGTATGATCTAAATTTGGGTTAAAAATAAGTTTCCTGAAGGCATGAATACTGGAATAGGATCTAAAGGAATAAAAATTCAACTAATGATAAGGGATATTATGGAGGAAAAACATATTTCAGGTAGCAGAAACAACATCTAAGAACATTCTGTATGAGGGATTATTTCATTCTAGGAGAAGAAAGATGGTCAATAATATTGAAGATCAGATAGAAAGAGGAAGAGTGATGCTGGAAAGACCTGTGACACAATGACATGGTTAAAGATATGCTAAGGAGTCATTTGGGAGATTAATCAGAAAGATACTTGAGTCCCTTCAAGAGAAATGAAGGTAGATGAATCAGAAGACTGAAGGATATGAATCCCAAGAGGAGAATGATAGTGAGCTGACTATAGGTTAACTCTACAAGTATAGTACAATGAATAGATATAACAGACCTCTCCTCTAAAGGCTTTCCTCCTTACTTTTCTTTTCTCTTCACAAACAAATCTCATTTCTACCTCCTTTCATTTCCTTTATTGTGCATTTGATCACTTGGATCAAGCCACTTAGAACGTTAACCCCTTCCATTTTGGGGTTATCCATCAAGGTTCAGCTCAAACTTCACCTTATCTGAGAAGCCCTCCAGGCTCTATCTATGCAACTTCATCTCCATCCTCTGATTCATTATAGAACTCATTCTTCATAATACTGCTTTAGTATTTTTCAAAATTTGCCCTTTTGTATTTCATTGTGCCATGCATCTTTGTATCTTCACCTATATGGTGAAGTTCTGCAGGACAATGATTGTATCTTTCTTTCATGGTCTGACAAATGAATCAAGGGGTGGTTTAGGCCTAGAGTAGATGAAAAGATCACTCATGAAGACATAGCCAGTATCAATAAGTGACAGAAATAGATATACCTGAGATAAGCAGAGAGGGAAGCAGAAAGAACAGAGACTGAGAGTATGGGGTGGAGGAGGGGAGGCAACAGAGAAAGTGTTTTTCAGAGTCAGTCACAAGTAATAAGGCTAGTGTCAGCTTCACACTGACCTGTTAGTGAGAACAGCCACAATAGAGCTGAAGAAAGAGGGAGAATAAACAAATGTGAAACATGTTTTATTTGGGAATCAGCTTAATTATGCAGACTGAAGTTATGAAGCAGACAGAGGTTACCCCAATTCTCCAGGGACATGACTCTGCCCAGAAAATGAAAGCACCTTATCCTTGGCCAAAGGTTTCATTCCAGAGAAGGGGGAGGGATTGCTGTTGTCCTAGTCTTGGCAGTGGGTGGAGGTAGAGGAGGAAAAGATGGGAGGGGGGCATGTAAATGGAAGGGAAAGGCTAGAAAAGAAGTTTACAGATAGATGATTGAGTTTAGGTCAGGGAGAGGGTGGGGAAAAAGAAGAAAAAAAAAAAAGGAGTGTGGGTGACCAAGGCAGTCAACCTATAGGCAAATAACTTGCCAAGGGGAGAGGAGGTATACAGTTGACGATAACTCCTCATTATAAACAGATTGCATCTGTACTATTTAGTTTGGTTTTTTTGAAAACCTCTGAACATTTCATGGTAATTAGTCTTCCTGCCAAGCAGTTATTTAAGAGAAGTGTAGACCCTCCTTTTGCCACAGACGGCTCCCTGGCCCATAGAAGGTGGGTGTTGGAGCTCTGGGACCCCAACACATCTATCTGAGGATACTTCGCTGGCTTGAGCAAGTGAGTATAGTACTGAATTTTATTGATTTTTTATGGTGGTGGGAGATTTAATTTTGCATAATATAGTAAGAATATATTTATGGTCCCTTTCACTTTTGCCTTTTCCCTGCCCCCTATTTATTATTATCAATATTGTAGTAATTATTTCAAACAAATAAGAGCAAACATGGGTTTCTCATAATTTAAACACTCCTCCCAGTTTGAAGTTTTGTCTCCTCCTCCTCATTAGAATTGTAAGGGGGTAGCGGTCCTGCAGCAAAGACAGGCACACAGGCTTTCTCTGTGGGTTAATTGGTCAGGAAAGACACTTTTTATATTGTCAAGTGGCACTTAAGCCACTAATTCTTGACTGTGAAACTGCTTTTCCTGGGCAATGCTCTTTAAGGAAAAACTTCTTCAGTCCAGTGATTGGTGACTAAGGGAACGGTGGAGCACAGGGGATTGGGCGGGATCTCGGCTCCTAATAATGCCTCCTTATCCAATGAAAAGCATTTCCTATTGAGACCCCCAAGAGTTCCCCCGGCCCTGGGCTCCAGCCCGGACTTTGGGCCTTTTCTTGTGTCCTGTTTGTTAAAGGCATGCCGGCTACAGCATTAAAGAGGGCCGGTTCTTAACAAAGGGAAAGAGATAAATGTAAATAAGCTCACATTTTCAGAATGAGCGGTTTACTGTAAGCTGCGGCAGCCCAGAGTCTGCTACTTTGGGCTGGGCTAACCTTTCCCTGTTAAAAAAAAAAAATAATGGATAAAAATATGCACTTCCAAAGTGCAAGTTACCCGTTTACATGTTTATTAGCTAATTGTCTACAGGCATGAGCACACTCTCTCATCTAGCACACTCTTTTTTGGGGTAAGTCTCTTTGAGAAAGATTTGATTTGGGCGTTTGGGGGTGGGGGATGGCGTAACAAACTTCAGTGGAAACACTGATGCTTTGAGTGTTTTGGGAAAGAAGTTAGACTTCAACTCTGAAGTGCTGAACAGGGATCGTCGTGTTGAATGGTAAAAAAACAAAAACAAAAACAAGAATTTCTATTGTTTTGGCAATAATATTGTTTCCGTGGAAGAGACAGGATTTTCAGGCTGTTGTTTCATGTAAACACAGTTGTCCTAAAGAGCTGATTTTTAATCACAGGGTAGAACAATTTTGGCTAGCTTTGTATTTCTTTGGTTTACAATTGATTGTGAGCTAATGTGGCTTCTATTATGATGAGGTTTTTTCTAGTAAAACTATACACGACATGCCTTTGATGCTTAATTGATTTATGGAGAATGTGACATTTGCTATATTGAATAATTCATGAACTTGCCCATAAAGGAAGAATCATGTTTGAATGAGAAACTAATTCTGGCATAAATAGAATTCGCTATTAATGTGAAAGTTTTTGCTTTTGCCATAAAATGCAACATTGTGACATCTTTAAAATTCTCTTCCTGTATATCCTGAATGTTTTTAAGATTTTTAGTAAAAAGATCATATTGAATTGATAAGTATTATATTTTGTTCAGTTTGTTTCAGAAAATATAATAATGTAATTTATCATGATTTCTGTATGAAAAATGACCAGACAAATCCAAAGTTTAGAACATTACAGAGCTTGGTGGGGTTATTCATTTGGCTACTTTACCAAATTAAACCACCTTATTTTTTTCTTGACTAATATGGAGACAACAATAATAACCTACTATCCAAACAAATTTATCCAGTGGCTTTGCAACTTGTTCATTTTTCAGAACAAAATTCCAAACAATATACCCACCAAAATAGATTATAAATCCCTTTGCATTGTCGCAGAAGAAAAGTTGCACTCTTTCTAAAAAGGATGAGTTCAGTTGATAAACCTGATGTCCTCTACATTCTAAAGCACCTCCTGCCAATCAGAGATGTGAATGAAAGCCCTACTGGAACAATCAGGCCAGTCTTTCAGAATGTGTACTCTCTGTAAGTTAAAGACAGGAATGGGGAGATGCCTCAAAGCAACACCCAGGCCGAGCTTAGCTAAAGCTTGATCTATTCAATCCCCTTTGAGGGAAAATGCAGTGAGATTTGTTGCCCTTGCTGTGATTTGGTCAGAATCTAATTGTGCAGTTGCTTTTGTCTGCCTATCATCATATATGGTCTGCTGTTGACCTTTTTCAAGGAGAGGAAAAAAAAATATATTTGGGAATATTGGTACTGAAATTGGAAGCTGAGAACCCAGCCTCACTTGTAGTAGGTTTATTGGTATATTGGTTATCAGAACCATGAACAGAATAAGTAATCTGCTGATTTTGTATAGTTATGTTCTGAAGTATGCTGTTAATCTCATATTTTGAGGGGTAAGGTGACCAGGTAGAAAGGATCAAGAATTGAGATCTAGACGATTAGAGTTGATATGCTTGCTGAATAGGCAGGACAGAGGGTGAAGAAAATAAGGGGATTTGGAAGACATGAGGGTGTAAATGGCATCTTGCTCTGTGATTCTTAGTGTTTTGTGCTAATTAATAATATTTACTTCTGATATTCAAATAAATCTAGCAGTCATTTCATTGCATTTAATAAAATTTAATGATTGTCATTACAGACCTTCAAGAATTAAAACTCTTTTTTTTTGCAGTGACAAGTGGAAGCAGGTGAAAATAACTAGCAGGGGATAACCAGAGAAGCCTCTACCATGGCAACAATTGAAGGCTTCTGACAGTCAGGGCCAAAGGTGGAAGACAAAGAGAAACTGAGGCCCAGAAAGGGACTGTGATGTGTTCTCCCATAGTTACCTAGTTATGGGACAAAATGTGGCTATATAGAATTAATATCAGAAATGAAAACTTCTGAGTGTTTGAACTTCCTATTTGCTTGGATTTCCAAATTTCAAAAATTTCTTTATATCAATTATGAAAACCATAAAATAAAGAAATGTTAATGTTTCTGTCTTTATTTCAGAAACTGCAGTAAAACAATATTCATTTCATTTCAGAAATACTGCTTTCTGGAGGAGTGTGAAAACTATTCTCCTTAATATTAAGGTGATTTCAATGTATTTTAAATTGTCTAAATATTTTATTTATTTTGGTATATTTAGAGAGACATTATATCAGGAAAATTAGAGTATCATTAGCAGTCTGCATTGTTTTAGGCTACCTTTTATTTTTGGAAGACAATGAGATGTGGCAATATCATGAGTCTGTCACTGGCAGATGATTTTACTTTATAAGCATTGCAATGAGGTCTAAATGCTACTTTTAAGAATCCCATTATATATTCTGATTCTATATGTGTATTTTATAGATTTGTAATTTGAAGGAGTTACAGAATGCTATAATGTGTAGGCCTAGGATACACTGGTAAAGGCAGAGTGATTATCAATGATTGTGCTAATAGCCAGTAATTGAAGCCTCTCTCATATCAGTATAGTTCAGGTCAGGAAGTAAAGCAATCGGGTGTGAATGTAGGTTAGAGACAAGGCAGTGGAGTCTCCACCTGTTGTTCCAGTGTTCTTTCTTTGCCCCCATTAAGGCGCCTGCCCAACCAAAACAGTTGTTGCCAGAGAAAAAGGAAGAGAGACGAGAAAAATAAAAAAAAACTGATATAACTTCAGACCAAAAAAAGTTCTTTTGTTGGTCATCTTTAATGTATGGAAGTGGGGAGGGATATTTTTATGCCTTTCGGTCCTAGTTTCTTTAGATGATTATAAGTTATACAGATTCATGGGTTTTGTGCTTCACTCTTAAAATATGGGACAGCAATGACAGTTTTGGAAAATAAAACATTATCTAAAATTGTTAAATACCATTTTAAAATATGTTGACTCTCATTTACTATGATTTATATAATGTAATAATTTTGTCTACCTTGTGATCTTTGTATATATTTTATTGATAAGCTCTCCTATGGTACACTATTTTAACAAATTCTATTTCACAGCACCTGTTAGAGGAAATTCCTAACTACAGTGCCTCCAGAAAGTTTATTGAGTACTCATATCTGAGATAAAATTGCTGCCAGAATTTAAACTAATGTGGTGAGTACCATTTTCCTAGTATTAATTTTCTACACAAATACTTATTTTATTCTCGAACTCTTTTTTTAAAAAAAAATATTTAGTTGTTGATGAACCTTTATTTTATTCATTTATTTACATGTGGTGCTGAGAATCAAACCCAGTGCCTCACATATGTGAGGCAAGCACTCTACCTCTCCAACTCTTTTTGTAACCAATACTTCCAGATTATTACAGATCATATGATATAATAATTTAGAATGGATAGAGAAGGAGTTATATTTGTTTTATAGTAAAATCCAGGCAATTCTGCTGTAGACGAATATTCATTTTTTAGCTCAACCCTTCTTTGTCATTGATACATAACTTTATAGATGGGAGACCTTTTTAATTCATATTATCAGGATGAATATTCAAGTGTATCAGATCAATTGGTGTTCGAATTGATTACTGATTTGTCTGTTCAGATATATGGAATGAAACTAAGTCCTAACTGGCATGTGTGACTCTTTTAGAATTTGGAAATGAGCTGTTTTAGGAACACCCAAAATCTTTCCCAAAAGGTCTGGGGCTTCTGATGAGATGAGATATTGAGTCTCAAGACTCTAAAAAATTTCATAACACTAAGTTGAGCAATTTCTCTGCAGTTTTCTTACTCTATAACTAAGTACAAGGGAAAATTCTACATTAGTAGGTCTGATGTAATCTTTGGCCCCATCATATTGAGCACTGGACCACATTATTCCCCAAAGATTGGACTGTGTCATCAGGTGAAGGGTTAGTAGAAGACTGGAGTACTTTTGGGGAGAAAAGAAAAAGTATTAAGTTGGTCACTAAAGATAGGATCTGATCAGATTGGAGCCTCTGTCAATTTCTTGCTCTCCTTAATAAAATGGGGAAAAATCAGCCTTTAATTTTGGTGAAAACAAAGTTCAGTACAGACAAATTACTTTAAAACTGGTATTTCTTGTTTCAAAAATAAGAGGCCAGTGCAGAAGAATTTCCTTGCTCCATTCTGGAGTGAAACATTTACCTATTGTTTCCTCCATATGGAATTTCGTAAGCCTAGATTGTGTTTTGAAAACTATTATGAAACATCAACCAATGCATTGGAACGTCAATTGGAACCACATGTATGATTGCGACCTGTGCCTGTGACTTGGCATAGAAAATTTACTTTAGAAATCTTATCTGTTATCAGCCATTCATATGAGGAATAACAATCTGGATATATTCCCTGTTGCTCCAGGAGAATGATTTTGAGCTGTATTTTAACAACATTTTTGTATTTTTAAATTTGTCTTACTGATAAGTATCTATAGGCAAGGACACAGTAGGTTTCAGCTTTCTCTGAGTTAGAACTTTATTTCCAATGTATCATCTGAAAGGTTAGCACTTTGTGAAGTGACTTAAGTATTCACTGGTCCTTATATGGACAAAAGCCTAACCATTTCCTCCAGGAGCCTCAAAGACACCAAACATGATATAATTCATTATCATTGGAAACCAGAAAAATGATACTACAATGAACTGTGAGAATTGGCTCCGTATGTGTAGGTCAAAGTTAAAAATTCATTGAGGGTCAATGACTTTTTGATCAACCTCCAGGTGACCTACATCCTGTCCATTGTCAATGAAAATACACCTACCTAATGCTTATCCCCTAGGTTATTAATTGTTGGAGTAATTGGCTGCAAACATCTGCACAATACAATAGTCTGATGCTGTTTGTAGTGGAAGATGTAATTAACTGTGTCGGCCTAATTTTTTTCCTTTCTTCATCTCATCAGAAGCTCAAGTGTGGGCCCTTTACCTCCATTCACTACTCAATACATTATCCCTTCAGGAAGATCTAGTAGTTAGAAACACTGTTTCTTTTAGCCTAAAGAAAAGCCAATCAGGGAGAAAAGACCTTGTTTTTTTGGACATCATTGATTCTCCTTTGGAATCAGCTCAAGAGCCAAATATTTCTCTGATTATTATTTAAAATTATAGCTCCAGGAGAGATATTCCATTGGAGGTCTCTTCCTGAATTGCTTTGTTATGAGTTCATTGTGTTAAGGTTGGAACTCAAGGGGGGACTTTCTGAGGTATAAGACATCAAAAAAAAAAAAAAAAAAAAAGATGTGTTGCTAATATGAAGTTCAGAATACCAAGAAAGACTCAGCTATAAATTTCCAGTTGTGTCAGAGGTGGGAGAAGGAAACAGCTTCTATAATGTTTCTCTGTGGTTAGGTAAGATTGAATATTGGCAAGCTCATAAAGCTACTCACAAGTACTGTTGAATCTTCCTACCCTCAGCTGTGAGGCTCAGAGGTAATGTTTATACAGGGAAGAGAAACAGTATAGCCAAGTTACAGAGTGAACCAGTGTCTGAGTCAGAAATAGAACTCCTTGCTTCCAATGCTGTGTTAAGTCCCAGCACCACACCCTCCCTGCTAGACAGCAAAGGTGGTGTGTGTTCAGGCAAAGGAGAGCTATGAATAGGGCCATAGAGGCAGTTTTCCCATGCCCTCTCTTTAGGAGTGAGACTGTACTGCTTTCTTGTCTGTGGTCCTTTCTCTCCCACAGGATTTGATTACTCAGAGCAGCAGAGCAGAAGTGCCAGGCATTAACATACTGCCTGCTTTGGGTATGGTGCATATGTTCTGGGGGATATAAAACTGAAATAAGGTAATGGATGTGTTAATTAGCTTGATTTAATAGTCTGCATTGTATATGTATATCAAAACATCACATTATACTCCACACATGTAATATAATTATGATTTGTCAATTGAGATAAAGAATAAAATGATTGAAATTATGAAAAGAAATGGATGAAAAACAAGAGACAAATGCACCTATTTGGAACATTACATCTTAAAAAGTACAAAATAATATATAGCCAGTGACATAGCAACATGTCCCATGGTTTACCAGTGGACAGACTGGAAGAACTCTGGGCAGAGGTGAAAAGGCTTCTAATATGAAAGAATTTTACAAATAAAATAAACTTACTAGCAGTACTTACTGTAGAAGGTAGGTATAAGCAGATCCCAGTGAAAAAAGCTGGGCTTTTATGTTAAGGGTTTTGTAGCCCCATGATTTCTTTAGATTGTGTGGCTATGTAAAATGGATGTTTCCTTGACTGTTTTGATTTCTTTCAGCAATGAAATTATTCATTTTGAATGTGGATGATGATCTTAGTTTACAAAAAAAAAAAAAAAGACTTATGGGTTAATGGACAGTGAGTGAGGTGTTCAAAATAGTGAAGAAAATGGATTAAGCAGTTGAGAAGTTTGGTATTTCCTTTTTTCTTAAACCACTCCATGATGAAACACATAAGCTGCAAAAACCTTGGGTCTACAGCTTCCAAAGTGTGATATGATCATCATTGATTGAGATCTTCCAGGCTCTTGTTTTTGCTGATCAGCTTCAGTGACCTTAAACACAGTGATTGCAAACCATGCTTCTATCAGAGAAATCTGGAGGTAATAAGATAAAGCAAGTTCGCCAGAATGGGACTGTAGGAACTCTGAGCTGGTTATCCCTCCCAGGACTGAATGCAAATGAGATATAATTAGATGGCAGCACTTACCTCTTACCAGCTTCTCTCTTCTTTACTTCCTCTTCCCCTCTTTTTTATCAATTCTCTAGTTTTTTCTTTCTTTGCTATTTTCCTTTCCATCTCCTCTCCTATTCTCCCACTTGATTTTATATCTTCCTTATCTGGCTCTTTTTTTTTTTCTTTGTAGACCTTACATGGTCAAGGTTTCTATGGTACTCTGCTTTTGCATATTAGGGTCGCTTCTAACAACAGTTGAGCTGGGCATATACAATAAAATAGCCAAGAAGGACTGTGATTTTAGTTCAGGGTTAGGCTTAGGGGAGGCAGTCCATAAACATTTGTTGAATGATAAATCAAGGATAGCAAACTTCCAATTTTAACTTGAAAACTATTAAAAATGACAACCCTTTGCTTTATACCCCATATTTTCCGAGATCATCTCTCCCTCTATGCACTGCAGTAAATAACTATTTTTCCCCTCAAACCAAATATTTCTTTTCTTAAGCCAAACACTGGTTTAGGTGATTTCAGACCTCTGCATCTTTCATAGGCCACCCCCTTTACTCCCTTCTCTATTTTATACTGAGGTCCTTTGATCTGTTTCCTGAGAATTCTGAGGGAAAAAAATGACATAAGGGGAAATCATTTCAGAAAACTGCCTTTTGCATTTTAGAATAAAATCATGTGAAATCTCATTACTGGATATGTTAGGGAATAAAGCCCACTTTTATCCCATGTCCTTCTCATTCAAAAGAATTCATTCAGCAGCTATTTATCCATAGTGTATTTTAGAGCACTTTCAAAGGACAGTCTCTCTCCAGTGGCAGCTGTTGACCTAGGAGAATGTTGGTAAGATTTCTAAACGCACCTTCAAAAAATGTCTGCCTAGATAATAATAATAAAAAAAAAGATTAAATCACTGGCTGTCACATGTACAAACAGGCAGGCAGAAGACATGTAAGGGGCCAGATCAGACGTGAGTCTTGAGGGGTGGCTGTTCATATAAAATGCATCTCTCATCACTTCTACTTGGCAAGCAAAGGCTTTATTGACCAGGGAGATTTAGGAGGTGGAGTTGTGGAAGTATCTGATGGAATGAGCCTTGATAAATGGAGAAGGAAGACAACATAGGTTTAGGGTCTAACATGAGAGAAGCTTGGAAAGAGGACCATGACCTGCAGGATAGAAGTGTTGAGTTTGTTATTTGAATTGTCTCCTTATAAAGGCAATGTGGTATAGTAAAAAAAAAAAAAAATTGGCTAGCAGCTCTAATTAACTGAGGGATTCCTTAACTCCTAATTTAGAAGAAAAAGGTGAACCAGTTATCTAGTTCAGGAGTTTAGTCATGACATTTTAGAGTGTGTTCTGGAGGTCCTATAACCATCTAATACTCAGATAAGGTGTTTCAGTAACACTGGAGAGTAGACATTTGGAGTAGCTTAAGAGTCCCTGGGTTAGGAATAAAATAAACTGAATCTGGTTCTGGCCATACCACTTATACCCTCTTCCATTTCTCATATTCTATAATTTTAAAATTATTTAAGCCTCAATTTCTACTTTGTAAAATAGTGAGAATTTCACTCATGCCTACCTTATGGTATTCTTTTGGAAATCAAATAAAGCATGGCTTTTGACAGGATTTTGAAAATTGAAAAGTGCCATGCAAATATCAAAGCATTTACATTGCTTTAGTTGTTAGATGTTCTTCCCCCCCACCCCCGTTTGAACTCTCCAGTGGCCTACACCTAATTCATGTTCATCGCAGTGCCAAAGTATTGCACCTACTTGTTGAGTTTGATCTCTCCCACTTCTGCAACATACTCTTGTATTACTTTTAATGTATGGTAGGTTCTCAAAAATACTTGCCAAACTCAATTGAATGTGGATGTTATCTTTCAACCTGGGTAGACCAAATATATTTTACTTTCTGGAAGGCAGATTTGCTGATTCACTCCATCTTGTCTCCCACAGGAGGAAAGTATTTCCTACCAGTCCCTAGTCTCAGAGTGGTGAACCCCTGCAGCTAGCAGGCCTTCTGGAAAAAATCCATGGGTGACAGAAGATTCATTGACTTCCAATTCCAAGATTTAAATTCAAGCCTCAGACCCAGGTTGGGCAATGCTACTACCAATAATACTTGCATTGTTGATGATTCCTTCAAATATAATCTGAATGGTGCTGTCTACAGTGTTGTATTCATCCTGGGTCTGATAACCAACAGTGCCTCTCTGTTTGTCTTCTGCTTTCGCATGAAAATGAGAAGTGAGACCGCTATTTTCATCACTAATCTGGCCCTCTCTGATTTGCTTTTTGTCTGTACCCTACCCTTCAAAATATTTTACAACTTCAACCGGCACTGGCCTTTTGGTGACACTCTCTGCAAGATCTCTGGGACTGCATTCCTCACCAATATCTATGGGAGCATGCTCTTTCTTACCTGTATTAGTGTGGATCGTTTTCTGGCTATTGTCTATCCCTTCCGATCTCGTACCATTAGGACCAGGAGGAATTCTGCCATTGTGTGTGCTGGTGTCTGGATTCTGGTCCTCAGTGGTGGTATTTCAGCATCTTTGTTCTCCACCACGAATGTCAACAATGCAACCACCACCTGCTTTGAGGGCTTCTCCAAAAGGGTCTGGAAGACTTATCTGTCCAAGATCACAATATTTATTGAAGTTGTGGGGTTTATCATTCCTCTGATACTGAATGTCACTTGTTCTTCTGTGGTGCTGAGAACCCTCCGCAAGCCTGCTACTTTGTCTCAAATTGGGACCAATAAGAAAAAAGTGCTGAAGATGATCACAGTGCATATGGCAGTCTTTGTGGTATGCTTTGTACCCTATAATTCTGTTCTCTTTCTGTATGCCCTGGTGCGCTCCCAAGCCATTACCAATTGCTTGTTGGAAAGGTTTGCAAAGATAATGTACCCAATTACCTTGTGCCTTGCAACTCTGAACTGTTGCTTTGACCCTTTCATCTATTATTTCACTCTTGAGTCCTTTCAGAAGTCCTTCTACATCAATACCCATATCAGGATGGAGTCCCTGTTTAAGACTGAAACACCTCTAACCACAAAGCCTTCCCTTCCAGCTATTCAAGAGGAAGTTAGTGATCAAACAACCAATAATGGCGGTGAATTAATGCTAGAATCTACTTTCTAGGTACAAGAATTGTCTTCTGGTCCAGATATAGTTTCTCCTATGATTTTTTTTTTATGCTAAGATTTTGAAGCTAATGATACTGAGTATAGATCAGTGTACCAAATACAGTCTGTTTGAACATTTAATGTAATATGCTGTTTTGTTCAGTAATTATAGGTCAAGTCTAATTACAACAACTGAAACAGATCACCAGACTCTTCTGCTGGGTTGGAATTTCATGGTGTCATGTTATGTAAGTGGCCAGTGGCCTTCACTTTAGTGATACACAGATTACTTTAAACTTCTAAAAAGCTATTTCTATTCCATTGATTTTGGTAATTGGGTTGGGCCTATAAATATAGAACAAATTCAGGGATTATTTAAAAAAAGGTTATATTACTACTGATATATGCTAATCTTTTTCTTCTTTTTTGAATTGTCATTCAAGTTATTTTAACACAAGAACATATTTTATCATAATGTTATTAATAAAAAATGTGTCCAATTTTAAAGAATTGGTAAAAATTTTATGCTAATTTTGTTAAATTATGCTAAATTTGTATTTGATAATTTTGAAAACAGAAAAGAAAAAAGTATTTTCATGTATATGGTTGGGGAGAATTAGAAAATTAACAAAATTTACACATTTATAATCACAAACAGTGTCAATTTTTAAAACTTTCTTTTTATACTACATAAAGATTTTTGTATGAAAATTCTAAGCCAGAAAGCTGCTACCTATGTGCCTGGCAGGTGCAAAATGGAAAATCACATAGAAAAAAAAATCAATAAAGAAAATCTAAGCAACACTAAAATTTTTTTCTTATAATTACCTTTCTTTTGAGGGACTGAGTTGTATAAAATATTTATTCTCCATATGAATTTGTTTTAATTTTTTTATTTGTTTTAATTAGTTATACATAATCCATATGAATTTTGGGGGCACAGTGCAACCAAAAAGCTGTTGCAGTTGTGCCCAGGTCGGGAGCGAATTGAAAAAAAATGAGATAATAATAACAATAATAAAAAAAATTGTATATTTGCAGTTTTTTGGGGGTGGGAGGTGGTAGGGACCTGTAACTTTAAAATACTTATTGCTTTCCTATTAAATTTTGGAGCACAGTGTAGCCAGGGAGCTACTGAGTCTGTGCCCAGGTTGGGAGCAAATTGAAAAAAAAATGTATATAAACTAAATAAAAACAAAAAAAAAGACAAAATAAAAAAAGACAAAAAAAAACCCCCACAAAAATAGTTCCTAACATTTGTGTTACTATTTTATATATTTTTGAATCACTGTAAATTTAAAAATAGGTTATTTGTATGGATTTTTTATCAAAATTCAACTAGAAATCTGTTAAATTTTTGCCTTGATCAGGAATAAACAGGAAAAAAAAACTGACATAAAACTAAAAAATATTAGAACAAACAAAACAAACACAGAAAAAAATTTAGAACCTGCACTTTTTTTGAGCATCTGTAAAATTTTAAAAGTGCTGAAACTTTCTTGTGATACTTTGGTTCAAAATGCACCTAGAAATCCCCTAAACAGGCACCCAGTTTAGGAGCAATTAAAACAATGTTTAAAAATCTATCAAAAAAAAATAACCATTTTTATAATTGAAATATCAAAAACTAAAATTATCCTTAAAATCTTGCTATTTTTGGATGAAGAGTGATTGTAATAAGTTTTAATACTTTTAAGTAAAAAAAATAGCTCGAAAGATGCTACATTTGTGCTTAAGTCAGATGCAATGGAAATTAAAAACTCTCACACACATATATAAAAAATAACAAAAATTTTCAACATTTCTAAAACCTTGAAAAATAAGAAAAATATTTTAAAAATGTACATTAATCAGTTTAAAAATATGTAGATGATATAGTGACTTAAAAATGCTAAGAATTTCAAAGTAGAACTTTCAGTAACAATGCATCTTGTAATTTGCTGAACTTGTGCCAAGGAATGGTAAAAAAAATAAAAACCATAAAGCAATGAAAAGTAAACAATAATGAAAAAGTAAAAATTTTAAAACAATAAGTGAATTCTTGAAACCTGTTAACCTTTGTTTTTCTTTCTGATGATATGTAGATCTAAAAATACTAAGATTTTAAAGTAACTTTAAAAATTGCTGAATCTGTGCTTGGGTTAAGAACTAATTGAAAAAATGCTTAAACAATAGAACAATAGTAAAAATGAATTCTCAAAACTGGTGTTAATTTTTCCTCATGATCTAAAGTTCTAAAAATAATCATGCATTATATTGTCTTGTGAAGAATGGTTGTAGTTGGAATACATAAGGCATTCAGTTATAGATGAAATTAGGTTAAGTTAGACTAAATTCAGTTAGGTTATGTTGTAAGAACAAATTAGTAATTGAAGTATGAATAATCTTTTTTTTCTTTGATATTATTTTTTTTCTATTTTTTAAGTATACACTATATGTGAATTTTTGTTTCTGCCCTTAGCTCTTAAAATTATGAAATTTTAGGATTGTGACACCAGACCATTTAATGGGATATGTTAACCAAGTTGACATAAAATATATTATTAAATCAGTTACCTTTTGTATAATTTCTATGTTTAGTTATGTTTAATATTTCATATTTCTCTTCCTTTTAGTTAACTTCCATTTTTATAGTTAATATAACTTGCTAATAAAACTTTTCATATGAACAATTTAACCATCAAAATGTAATGTATAACTAAATAAAATTGACTTTATTGTACACATAAAGGCAAAGGTAATCTTTCAGCTTTAATTGCAACTTGATTTTAAGTGCTTATTAAATGTAATAAAATATATTTGGATTATCTAGCAGTTACACTTTGGTCAATTATTTCTTTCCTCAACTGTCTATATTTGTGGTCATTTTCCCTTAATTTTTCCTCCATCCTTCAAGAAAGGATTTACTAAAGTGTGTTTACTCTCAAATCATTCTAATACTTTATTTTTGAGTCTGTCTGAAAACTGAAACCTTAGCAAATGATCATTCCCTTGGTGACTTTTCAGGGACCATGATAAACACACACACACACACACACACACAAAAGTAATAACTTCTTTCATAATTGTTCCAACTTGGCTTTGATTTATACCCATGGATTCAAGCAACTAACCTCAGATCAAAAATATTTGAAAAAAAAAGGTTTATCTGTTCTGAACATGTACAGACCGTATAACAAACTAATTATGTAGAATTTACACTGTATTAAGTATTATAAGTCATCTAAAGATGATTTAAAGTATATGGGAGGATGCACATAAGGATATATGCAAATACTAAGCCATTTTACATAAGAGGCTTGAGCATCCATGGATTTTGGTATCCATGGGGTGTTCTAGAACTAAGCCCCAGAGTATACTAAGAAATTACTGTATTTGGGGTTTCTAGGCATTTTTTAATTTGATTTCTAGGATTTGACGAAACATCCTAGGACAATATCTAAGTGGCCTGGGGCAAGTTGGGGCGAAAAGGCCATGTGATTGTAATATGAGGGTAAACTAGGGAGCTGACAGGTCAGTAGCTAAAGCAGGTGATGGTCCAGGTGGCCACACTGGGAATCATGCTCATTCCTTTAATTCTAGGGAAAGCAGTGTTGGCATCTTGTGTTTGTTCCCTAGTTGACAACAGCAATTGCTCCCTTTTCTGACATTATGACCAACATGGTCAGCCCCAGGATGTATTTAAATTTAGAGGAACTTTTCTATTAGTGACCTTCTAGGCCACTTCCTTAGAAACAATGGGGAGAGAAGTTCTTTGTTTCACATCCCTATTTGTTCTCTTCGACCTCTGTCTCTACCCCAAATCCCTGCATTCTTTCTTTAGCATGGTTTCCCAGGTTACATGTTGTCCTCCTGTTTTTCTTGTGGCTCTTTCCCTCTTCAACATCTCTCTTCAACCCCTATGGAGTCTGGACCAAAAACAATGTAGAAACCTCTGTCAAGATAGTGACATGTTGAAAAGATTCACACTAAGGTGTGAAGAATTGATCCCTCCCATTCACATTTCAGAAAGAGAGTCTGATTAATTCAAGTGATTGTCTAAAGCAGGGACAGGGTGGGGAGAGATTATTGTCCCAGTATTTGCTAAATTATTTCTTGAGCCTTGGGCTCTCTTGCCTCATAATACGTGGGGCCTCTGCACTGCAACATCCTCATCTTGCTCTCTCTCTTTATTTCTGTTAAATAAGGAAATACTTTATTAATACATACAAACACAATCTATAAAGCACTAAAAAATTTAAATTGGCAACTCAACATCCAGGGTCAACAGAATGCTTGAAAGAAATTGCAACAGATTAGATTTCCATGGTGAAAAAAGCATCTTTATAAGTGAAGGGTGACCCAGCTGTAATAGCTTTTCAAATTCTCTCCACATTGAGACTCATAAGAGGCACTGCAAACAAGGGAAGGTGTGTAATCTGGTGCACTTTGGGCAGATCAAAACTTTCCAAATCTAGAGGATTGGAAGAAAAAGAATTGTACATTTCTGAATATATGTTATTAGAGGCAGGAGCAGAGCTGTTTGCCTTTACAGCCTTTGTGGTCATATTTTTGGCAGAAAAGTTTGGTATCACTTTTGTGTATTATGGAGTGCAAACCATGCACTGCCTTTCTCCTGAGAGCCCTATTTTCCAAAATTCTCCTCAATGACTAGGAACCCATGTTTTTATGTCAAATAAACTGGAATTCTTTCCCTCAAATGTCTCCTGATCATAGTGAAACTGTGTGAAATTGTTCATGAAATATGAAGCAGTTTGTTTCAAGATGGAAGCCAAATTACAGTCTACTGAGTTAAAATGTCCCTTGTGTTCCAATTTTGAGGGAGGGGGTGGTTACTGGGGATTTAACTCAGGGGCACTGGACCACTGAGCCACATCCTGTGTTCTGATTTTTGAAGAGCCATGTACTGCTCACTGCTTTGCTTCTTTAGCTCTCTGAGGTCCTGGGAATGAAACTTTTCTTTCCCAAGTATCCAGGGAGGTACTGAGTTCAGGAACCTTATAGGAGTTGGTCCAGGATGAGGTCCAAAATGTGTCTGTGAGGGAAGT